TTTATCCCTTAGAAGTACGATGTTCCGTCAAGCCTACGATCAAGCTCAATCAGATTTTGTACAAACTGATAAATATCGACGAAGTGACGAAGTCCACTTGTTTACTATGAAGACTTGTATGCACCTAAAAATGTAATAATTTAAATACAGTTCATTCATTCGCTTCAAGTTTCAACGCGTATCGACCAATACACATTGTTATTTGTGATCAAACTTTCATCTTACCTTGAAAAGCATTTTATTTAACAGTCAGAGTCCATTTGCGATGAGACTATGCCAGTACAGAGGCCATTATGCGTACATGTAACGTGTTTACAAATTGTCATTGTCCATGGTGATGTTCGCGAAGTTCAACCGAGATATTCGGAAAGTCAAATCGCGATCTGCAGTATGTTATTTTTTAGAGTAAAGTTTCTGTGACGTCAAAATACGTCATAAATCTGATCATCCATCCGTACACCTCCAAAATCGAGATGTCGTTCGGCTATACATAACTCGGCCGGAAACGGACTGGTGCGAGAAAAACAAATCGTCAAGAATAGTGTGCTGCCTTCGGCAGCAACAATGCAAATACAACAACAATAACAACATCAACGATATTACATGCATCTACATATTTTGCTACTAAGCCTATGATAAGCCATTTCAAATACTTTAGATATGATTCAAACATCAGTCTGCATGAAACAGTAAAAGCACAATTTGAAAGATGGATATGGTGAAAAACTGAAAATATATTTGCATATTAAAAAATATATTCACAATGTATTAAAATAGAAGTAATATAGCGTCTCATTGTTCGCTTGTTCTTTGTCTTTTGAGTGATAATAACACAATGTCTGCATGTAGAACTCCATTACCACAAAAATCTACATACCAAGTCCATTTCAAAAGACGATATATTGAGAGTATCGACATCGCTGCCGTCGAACGACCAGCATAACTTATGTCAATATTATTATTATGATATGCCCAAAAATACTGTTTCATGTTTCAGCGGATCAAATTTCTTCAGAATGTAATTCGAAACAAATCAGAAGGCCCAGAAGATAAAAGACGTCATGTCGCGGATGGTGGGATGTGGATGAACAGCAGGTTTTGGTGGTGCACTTTAAACTTAAATAATATTTCTCTGTATTTTCTGCGTTCTCGTATAAATATGACGCCGGTCGTATATCGATTTCTTTCTTTATTTGCCGTATTTCCATTTGATATTTTTGTCAGCAAGTCCAGAATTAATCCAGCTTACGTGAGAAATTAATTTGAACTAATGATGGACGAAATTTCAAAGAGATTTTTTTGGATTCCTGATTCCTCTGTATTTTCTGCATTCTCGTCCAAATATGACGCCGGTCGTATATCGATTTCTTTCTTTATTTGCCGTATTTCCATTTGATTTTTTGTCAGCAAGTCCAGAATTAACCCAGCTTACGTGATAAATTAATTTGAACTAATGATGGACGAAATTTCAAAGAAATTTTTTTGGATTCCCGATTTTCGACACATATTCCCGATTTTCGACACATTATATGGCAGGCCCTTCGCGCTTCGCTTCAAGTTCTAAAAGTGACCCGCAAAAATTTGCACCGCCCGCAAATGTGCCCGGAAAAAGGGCCTGCGGAGGAGGTAGGTATTTTTAGGTGTTACATGTAAATATGTCAATCATCATCGTTAATTATTGCAAAATGCAAAGTGGGCGGTAGAGCGTTTTGACATAATTTTCATCAGACCTTCGTTTTGCGCCTCCCACCCGCAAATTTTAGGACGAGCAAAACGAAGGTCTGCTGCATTCAAGCTATCTGAAATTTCAACCTGATACTCAGGGTTTTTACTTCCACCCAGGGTTTTACTTCCGCTATAAGTGAAAACCCTGAGTATCAGGTTGCTGAAACTTACGATGCGCTATAGCGCTTATAACCTTTGGTACAACTGGTGTTAAACTTAAAGTATTGATTCAATAAGTTTAATATCAATATATTTATTGAAAAATAGCTATTCTGTCAAAATAAGAAAACTTAAGATTCTTACGCGAATTAGCCAACGGTGCAGACTCCAGCAAAAACACGCGAACAGGCAATGTTTTTATAAGCGACCGTTAATAGTTAGTTGCAAGCGACGGTAATAATAACATTTTAATTTAACAAGGTCAAAGTGGGTCAAGGTTTTATCGAAAGCGATTGACTGTTAGATTTCCTTTACAATTTAGCTTTATTGTAACTTTTTAAAGCTATAAAAACCCGTGGAAACGGTTAATTACTATAATAGATTGAAAATGATTATTTATCGTTTTGACGTTTGAGTGATTGAAATGAGTTAACTTACACTACATCGAATGTCATGTTGAATGTCATGTTGAACATGCGTACTTCACAATGGTTGCTACTTCGTTGTTTAGTATTACATTTCAATAGTATTAGCCTACTATTTATAATTCAAATTTTGTTTGATATTTATATTTCATGTTATTTACAAAATGTGCTGTACTTTTCAAGCTTTGTGCACAATATAATCAGCGCAAGCACAATTGCCCCGTTTCAGTTTGAGTATATAAAAATCGAGTATTTTGATAGCGTTGGGCTTTATATATATATAATATAAACGCCTCAGTAAAATATTAATCTGCAGTGCGAGCACAACGGCTCCAAAATCACAACAAAGAACAGAATATAAGGTAAGTTAAAAACAGTAAAGCTTTACCTACCTCGATTGGATTTTTCTAAGGCGCTCAATTATGTAAATTTTCGGCGAACTCGACGAAAACCAGCATGAAAAGCTCGTGGTACGTACCACGTGACTGGTACGCTCACCACCGCTCACCGCCACCGCGACACGAAATTTAGAGCTATATGAAAGTTGCATGCTATATATGGCATGCAACAAAAACTATCCTAACGCAAAACTAAACCCTAACCCTATTACTAACCCTCACCCTAACCCCAACCTAACCCCTAACCTAAACCCTAACCTAACCCTAACTTATTTTAATTATTTTAAAAATTGATATAAAAAATGGAAACCTTATTTTGAAGTATACTATCTAGCAATTGCCCTATCTAAACTGTGGGATTCCCGTCCATCTGGTGGACGGGAAATCTGATTGGTTGATCAGCATCATGAAGCATTTTGATTGGTTGCAAGTTTACATAAACAACAGTTTTAAAAATAGCTCGGTCAAGGCGACAATTAATATAAAAAACATATTGATGAACTGAGACTAGTAATGCATAATAATGATATTGACGTACTCGCAATTAACGAAACTAGAATGGATAGTACTATACCAATTGAATTGATATCCCTATCCGGTTATACTTGGGTTTCCAGAGACAGAAATAGATCTGGTGGTGGTGTTGGCTTTTTCATACGTGATACAATTAATTTCCAGCTTAGATCTGACCTTAACGATCCTAATATTGAAATCTTAACAATTGAAATTACCAAAAACAAAAGCAAGCCATTTCTACTTACCACATGGTATAGGCCCCCAAACGACCCTATCGACACACTTTATAAATTTGAAAATTGCCTTAAATTGATTGATAATGAAAATAAAGAAAGCATTATTTTAGGTGACGTTAATTCGGATATCCTAAGTAGCAATCCTTCACATCTTGTCTCCGAGATGAATTTCATCACTAATCTTTATCAATACGAGCAATTGATAAATGAACCTACAAGAGTCACAAAAGACAACGCAACTTTGATTGATCACTTTTATACAACAAAACCAGACTTATTAATTTCTAGTGGGGTAAGAATTATCACTATTAGTGACCACTACTTAATTTACGGTATTCGTAAATTTTATACAACCAAGGGAGCCCCGGAAGTTGTAGAATATCGGGATTTCAAGCACTTTAATGAAAACAATTTTCTTTTTGAATTGGAATCACTATCAAGCCTAAATTTAGACCATTTAGATCCCAACATTTCTTGGTTAACTTGGAAAAATAAATTTCTTCATATTGTTAATAAACATGCACCCTTAAAAAAACGTAGAGTGTCTAAGAAACGTGTACCTTGGTTAACCCGTGAGTTAAAATATTATAAACGCCAAAAAGCATATCTTAAACGAAAGGCAACTTTATCTAACTTAGACGGCGACTGGGCAGCCTATAAATCATTGAAGAATCATTATAAATAGATTGATTAAAAGTACAATGCGTCAACACTATCAAGAAAAGATACATAATAATTCAGGTGATATTAAGAAAACATGGAAAATAATCAATGAGGTGATTAACAAGTCAGAAAAAGCCAATAAAGTACTACAGCTTAAAAATGAAAATAACGAAATTATTGATCAAGCGGATATCCCAAATCAGTTTAACAAATATTTCATTGAATTAGGGGATAATTTATCTAATGATATACCTTTATCAACGTCAACTCCCGACAGATATTTTACCAATTTTCAATGTCCAACTGACACTTTATCGCACTTTAAAGAGGTATCAGAGACTGTAATATTGAGATTGCTTTCTAACTTAACTATATCCAAGGCATCCGGTCTGGATCAAATTTCGGCTAAAGTTTTAAAAATTGCAGCACCATCTATTGCTCCATCACTTACTTTAATTTTTAATCAATCAATCCGCACTGGCATATTTCCATCTGACTGGAAAGTTGCGAGGGTTACACCAATTTATAAATCTGGGGAAAAATTTTGCATGTCCAATATAGACCTATATCCGTTATTTCAATTGTTGCAAGAATCATGGAAAAGCTAATACACAACCAGATCTATGAATATTTGATTAAGGAAAATCTACTAGCAAATTCCCAACACGGCTTTAGGCCGAACCATTCAACTCTAACTGCGTTGCTCGATATCACAAATAGATGGTATCAGAATATGGACATTGGCCAACTTAATGGGGTGATATTTCTTGATTTAAAAAAAGCATTCGATACTGTTAATCACGATATCCTTCTTAGTAAGTTGGCAATTTATGGCATAAGGGGGTCGGCATTACGCTGGCTCAACTCCTATTTAACAGGTCGAATACAATATTGCCAAGTGAATGCCCATTTATCTGATCCTCTATGTGTGACAACGGGTGTACCACAAGGTTCGGCTCTTGGTCCACTCTTGTTCCTAATTTACATAAATGACCTACCTAATTGTCTGGAACACACTAAAGTCAATATGTTTGCCGACGATACCCAAATTGAAACGGCAGGTTATGATGTTAATACAATTGCTGAGGAACTTAATCAAGATCTAGAAAACGTTTCAGTTTGGTTGTGGGCAAATAAACTAACTTTAAACAAAACGAAGACAGAATACATGATAATAGGTAGTAATAGAAGAGTCAATCATATTAACATAACGCCTAATATATTCATAAAAGACAGAGAAATTAATAGAGTCAAAACGACCAAATCACTCGGCTTAATGATTGACGAAACACTCTCATGGAATGCTCAAGTTGATCAAATTACAAAAAAGGTTAATTCAGGTCTCAGTATCCTTAAAAGATTAAGAGACATTCTAGATTACCAAACACTGATCAAAATTTATTTATCAATAATTCAACCACATTTCGACTATTGCTCACAGATTTGGGGTTGTCTGGGTAAAGTACTATCTGATAAACTCCAGAAGCTTCAAAATAGAGCATTTCGAATAATAACTCGTGGAAACTATGATACACGTACAATCGATGTTTTGAACAGGGTCGGTTTTCCAAATCTCGTGACTAGAAGAAAACATCATTTAGCCGTCCTAATGTTCAAAGCCAAACATAACATGTTACCAAATTGCTTAACGGAACTTTTCATCACCTCAAATGAAATACATAATTACAATACAAGACAGAGCGAATTCAATTTTGCATTACCTAAACCTAAAACTAATTTTATGAAAAAGTCTTTCGCCTATCGAGGAGCTGAGACTTGGAATAATCTGTCTGCTGACATAAAAGCTAAAACAAGCATCTCTA